GCAGTCCATCTCTGCATATGTGCGCAGGACCCAGGATTTCTACTCACTGGGGCTCCTTAACATATATAACGGTAAGACACTAAAAATGTGGTGTTTTCCCTGAAACTTTAATTGGGGTTTATCTTCCCCCCTAGTTCCTAACTAACTTGGGAATTCCCCTCTAAGCTGAGTAGCTATAGGTTGGAAACTGCCTTTGCCTGCTTAGCAAGCTGAATACTTGCTCCATGGCAGTCACCTTACTCGCAGTGGAGGTGGTTCTTTGTCCTAATACTGACATGCAGCTTGTGAGGCAGACAATGGCAGCAATAGCTGTGTACTTAGCTTGACAACAGGTTCTCTTTAAACCCTTCACATACAAAAGCATTCTTTCATCAGGGCGTGGAGAAAGTCGCATTGGTGGGAAATTCTGCAGCTCCAGAAAAAAGGAGTTCTCATCTGGAAGACAAAGAACCAGCTAAGCAGGAAGTGCAAAGATATATCCAAGAAATACAGCAAAGAGATCTGATTATCCAGCAAATAAATGCCAAGGTAAAATCCTGCGCCAACATTACACTGAACATCAGTAATATGATTCTTTCTTACATAAGACTCAAACTCAACCGTAAGATGATCCATTTCATGATCACACAGTAGTAGGTGCCTTGTTCTTCTAAATCATAAGGAAGGAAGACTTCCATTTAATTGCCATTACATTTGGTACTCTTGGCTAGTACCTAAGGGATGCGTGTTGTCAGCAACAATACTTTGGTACACCATAGCATTCAAGTGATGCTCAGTTGGTATTAAAGGGCCTAAGGTGTGGCAAAAAAATATTCTCCACAGTATTACACCAGCGTCTGGGTAAACTTTTATAACAAGACAGATTTGCAGATTGAATGAAAAAATAAGAGATTTGCCCGGACAAGAGCCGAATTTTTTTTCTTGGCTCTGAAGAAATGAACCTGGCATGGTTCTTTACTGCTGTAACTTGTCCACTTTAATGTTTGATGTTTTTATCTTACACTTATTAAAATTATTATTATTAGTCAACATTCTCAGATGTCTTCAGGCTGGGCACAGGATGCACAAGGTCCTCTTTGGATCTTCTGCTGAGAGTGGGCTATTCTCAATTATGCCGATTGTGGTGCTGACATTTTATCATATCCGCACCGCTGCTCCCTGCATCGTCGCACTGTGAGTCAAGTGTGCCATGGTAAAGCCCCCTAAGGGGATGGGACCATGGGGCCCTGCACTTACAGTATGCCATCAATCTTATTAGTTGAGTGACGCTTAACTTAAACATGAAGGCTGAGAACCTCTTGTTGTGGAAAGCAGTTATTGCAAGAGACGGTACTAAAGACAGGAGAGCCAGAGCTGCCTTTTTTTTTTTTTTTTTTCAACCCCCAAGGGGTCATTAAAAATAAAGTCTAGCCTGCAGTCAGGCTTTAATAATTAAAATATATACAAACACAAAACATTTCCTTGAAGAATGTGCTTATCTGTACAGTCTTTGATCTAGTGTTAGTGATCCTGTTCACATTCTTTTCCAGGCCATGGAATTGATGGAGATGAATAATGTGTTATCGGCTCAGCTGAAAAGCGTGTCCCAGGGATTGAAAGATACACAGACGAGATACACTGACCTGCAGAATCAGTATTACAAACTGCAGAGGGACCTGCAGAGCTCACAAGTTACCAGTCGAGTAAGAGCTTGTTTCAACTCATTGGAGCAGATTGTATTTATTGCATACCTAAAATTTCTTGTTACATAATTAGGATGATCACATTCACTTGTATATCTAAAGCAGAAAATAAAAAGGTTTTAGATTTCCATAAATAACTAAATGTTTGAGAACTTGACTGTGTAAAAAAGACTGTAATTAGCAAATTCCTGAACAACCTTCTCTTCACCCAACAAACATCCACTGCGCAGCGCATGATAGGCAATTAAAGTGGCATTAAACCCTCAGATGTTTTTAACATAAACCAATACTGTAATGTGTGCCTTACTGTAATCCATGGTTGTTTGCCTTCTCTTTGCTGCTCTTCCTATTAAATCTGCATCTGTTCTCATGCTGGGCAGAACTTCTGTTTTGCAGCAGACTGCCTTGTCTCTGAAATGGATACATGGTGTCTGTGTGTAGGTTTGCAACCTGAGCCAGCACTACAGGAAGAGGCCCTGAGCTGCAAAGGGAAGTTCTCCCTCAGCATGAGAAGACATGAGGATTTAAAAGGAAGAGCAGCAAAGAGAAGGGAAACTACCATGGATCACAGTAAGGCACACATTACAGTATTGGTTTATGTTAAAAACATCTGAGGGTTTAATGCCACTTTAAGGATTGCCTATTATGCACTGAGCAGTGGATGTTTGCTGCTTCCATTTCTGTTGATAATTTCTACTGATGTTTATTACTTGAAACCCAGATTCCAGTCTCCTGATCTGGTAGGTTAAGCCCCATACACAGAGAATGTCACACAACCAGCTTTAAGTAAAGACAGTGTCTTTCCATGCTCAGCCACCTTCAGAATTGGCTTGTGGCATAAGTATTAGACATCAATGTCCACAGAAGATACAGTGCTATGTGCAAGTTAAAAGTTGCTGCTTCTTTCCACACTTTGTTCTTGTGTCCAAATAACTGTACAAGGATCACCAGTCCCGCCACATATATGATCCTTTAGAATGCGAGTATAAAGATTACCTATTGAGCTTCTCGTTCCATTGATCGTATATTGACGAGGCATCACAGTTGTACATGGAGGAAAGATGTAATGAAGGATGCTTTACTTTTAAAGTGGTAGAATTCCTGAAAAGATGACTGTGGTGAGGTTGAAAAATATTGGCTAATACATTACCTTTAGCAAAAGAAATGATTTCAGCTCTTTTGTGGATCGTAGATCTATAGCGGTTGATGGTAATAGTGGTAGCGCAATTTGTTTTCTTTACAATTCTGTGAACTGTTTTTTTTGTCACACAGAGCAGTACGTAAATGTATAGAAGTCATATATTGATTGATTCTTTGTCCATTAAATAGCTGACATGCTCCCATTGCTTGCAGAATGACGCTCTGACCGAGGTACCGCCTGGAGCTCCCCAGGAGAGAACCGACGTTCTTGTGGAAATAGACAATGCCGAGCTGGCTGACCTGAGGAGAAGGTTTGACATTGTTGCTGCGCTTTCCCCACAGAGAATTTTTGTACCTTTTTATAAAGACAAAAATATGTGTCCTCCCTTGTCCTTGGGAAAATAACGTTCTATTAAGAGAGTCCTATTTCTTCATCTGAAAGGAATGGAGGACATATGAATGCTGTACAGTAATAAGGTGTGCTGGGCTAACATTGGGATTTCAGGGTATAAGGTGACCGATTGCAATTATAATATGCACAGACCAATTCTCCCATATTGTTGTTCTAAATTAACTATATTGTACTGTATACTGTAAGTTAATTCATATACATTTAGAGGTGCACCGAAATGAAAATGTCAAAAATGAAAACAAATGTCAGGCCGAAACCAAAAGTGTTTTTTATTCTAACTTTTTCAAACTTTTTTTTAATATTTTATTTTTTATAAACGTTTTAATTTTTTTATATTTTATTTTTATTTATTAATTTTTTATTAAATATTTGTATGTTTTTTACTTTACTTTTACGGGCGTCAGTGAAATATTGGGGGTCTAAACAAACCCTTTATATTTCCCTTTTAAAATAGAAAAAGAGATTAAGGACACTCTCCTCAATCTCTTTTTCTGCAGCCCCAGTTATCAATGAACAGAAATCCTCTATACTGAGTGTTCCTGTTCATTCACAACATGAGGACAGAGTATGATTACTATAACCACAATCATGAATGAACAGGAGGAGATGTAGATCACTTCCCAATCATTCATAATTGAGGATATAGTAACCATACTCTGTCAATTATTTACAAACACTCAGCGATCACTGATCCCTGACTGCTTGTACCCGCTCTCCATCCTGACGGCGCTGGCTGTCTCCACCCACACACCGCTCTCCCAATCTGTGACAGGAGGCTGAGCGGTGCTGGGAGGAGAGATGGCGGCCGCTCACAGGGCTCTCCTCCCGTAGCACTCGGGCGCCTGTGACAGTTTCTCTCCTCCCTGTCGGGGCACAGAGCAGCGCCCAGCGGGGAGGAGAGAAAGAAGAGATGCACCACAATATCGGCAGAAAAATGGCACTTTCGGCATTTTGACAAAAGTGCCATTTTTAGCCAATATATCGGTGCATTATATATATATTTGTGAATCAGCCCCTGGGCATCTACCTTACAAATAGAGTATGGAGGCTACCTCTGGGATTACATATATATCTATAGATATATTATAAAATCCCAGAGGTAGCCTCCATACTCTATTTGTAAGGTAGATGTCCAGGTGCTGATTCACTAAAATATCCACAGTAGGTATAGAGGCACTCAAGGTTCTTGCAGCAGAGATAAGTCAAAGCATCAGCATTTTATTGTCAATGTTCTGATGGAGCTCAGTCCATCTTTAAGGAGATGGAATGAGATTTATTGAACTGTTGATAATGCTTTGATTTATCTTTGCTGCAAGACCCATAAGAGTGCTTCTATATCTACTTTGGAGACGTACGAAAGTAAGAATGTGGGCTATACCTTTTGTGTGTCCCTAGCCCCAGGAAAGGCATCACTTACATTTTTTTACTTTCCTACAACTCCCCATGGATAACGCAGTATAACACTCTACTGCTATATAATGTATATGTAAATATACATATGTAAATATATGTAAAAGTTTAATGCCTTAGCCTATCCCTTGCTCCTGCTGTACTGGGATTATCTTTTGTTGTGTATGATGGACGTGGGGCTCTCTGCATTTGAAAAAATATCAAAAAAATCTTTACTGGTGTATCTCTAGATGCACATGAAAAAAACCATCTGCTCGTATATGTGCAATGCTGAGATTTGCTGCTCCCATGTATTTAGGACTGTTGGCTGACCAAATGTTAACCTGTTTCTTTAAAGGCTCACGGCGACTGAAGTCAGCTATGATGCTGCGCAGCAAGAGCTCTCAGAGTTATTGGAGAGGCTGGCTCAGGAAAGGGTACGCAGGGAAGCCGCTGAGGAGGCTCTTCACCGCACAGAACAGAATAATAGAAGGTTAGTAATGTTATTACTAAAATCCAACCTGTTCCTCTGAGAAAACAGCCATATGCAACTGCCTGAAAGTTGTGAAGAAAAGAAAGGCCGTACTTAAGGGATTTCATTTGCAAAACAAATGTGTTTTAAGAAAACATGTTGGCCGTTTTAATTGTTTAGAATTGATGACCGGGAGGAGGCACCTCAGAGTCCCTGCTAGCACTGAGCTAGAACACCCTTTTCTGCACCCCTCTGATCTTAGGTTCAGTTTGTTACTAGAGGCACAATTTCTCTAATTTCTGAAACTAAGCCTCTCCCTTCCCTTGTCCATTAAAGGGCACCTCAACAGGATCTATAACTATCTAACAGCAGCTTAGTTTGGTTCCTTACAGGGTGGGAAATGTTCTTGCCAAGATTCAGATTTGACCGGCTCATGTTGAACATTATAGAAGCTTGTCTTGCATTGTGGACACATTTAGGGGGAGAGTGCATTGGGTGCTTTTCATATGATGGGTGCTGACCAATACGACCAGCCTTAACCTGGGTGCTTACCCTCGGTGTAAATCACCTTACTATGGCTTTTAAAGCTAAACTCCAGGTACATATAAAATGGGAATATATCCCTCAAAAGGCTATAAATCCACTTTGTCTGCATGATTGCTCCCTTTTGGTCTGTTAAATATTCTGTTAAAAGCATTTTAAGTGCATAAATACCTGTTTATCCGGCTTGGATTTTCAGTGCAGAACTGAAGTGTGTCAGTACGGCAGAACACCTACCCATGTTATAGAGATAAGGAGAGAGGGAGATGTTCGGTAGTCCCAATAAACTTCCTTTCCTCGGGTGACAACACTGATTCTCTATAGATTCGGTATAGTGAGTGAGCGTGGTCACCCTAGAACAGGGAATGTGTTACTGGCAGGGCCACCAGGTGAAAATAAAAGGGGGGAAAGCCTGAAAACGAATGCAGCCAATACATCGAGGGGCTTTTAAGCTGCACAACATGACATTTTGTATTACACTTTAATACCTAGAATAACACGATTGCTTTGAATTGTCTGAACAATTGTCCTGTATGTGACCACCTTAATTCCTGTTTACCCTGCAGTGACTGTCGAGGCTTCAGTTAGAGCCGCACGCTGATCTTAGAGGCTGTAATTTGGTTTGTCACACGAGGCAAAACTTTATCTGGCTGAACTATTGTTTACTAATTAGTGTGTCATTATAGCTAATTGATCCTCTTGCTTACTGCATAGCCCATTTACCACGCTGCTTAATATCCCCCCTCGGGCGCAGATTTCCCTCTCGCTCTCTGAAATGTACGTGGTGTTGTACTTACGTTACACTGCGCTCATGAATAACAAAGGGAAATCTCTCATTAAATAAAAAAATATAGCTGCTAGTTTTAAAGTGCAGGCAGAGTGCACATACCTGCAGACACCTCTAAGCCCTGCGGGTACACCCAAATACCGGACCCTTCTGACAGGCAAAGGTATTGTTGAGTCTTTCCTGCTCTTTCCTGTCTTCTGCACATTGCTGTTGGCCAGTGAGGCTGGCCATCATTGTAATGGGCCAACAGAAGCATGTGGCAGGTGACAAACCAGCTTTGGCACCAGGAAGTAGCTTTGCCCATCAGAACAATGGGGCCATTCTGCCTTAATGATGGTGCTTGCAGGCTGCTGTCTGCATATGAAGAGTGGTATAACCTGTGGTACCCAGAGGCCTCTAATATGGATCTTCATCTTTAGCAGCTACAGGTGTTTCTGCATCAGCAGAAAATATCATTTGACACCCTCCATCTCTTCTGTCCCTGTAATTCTTCCTTAGAGACCAAGACTCCTTTAAAGGGACATTTTAAAACTCAAATCCAGAGGTCTTGCCTGCCCAGGACGTTGGGCATTTTTTCAGGACTGAGCGGCACTTATGTAATGACGTTGGATGCCGCTCATTCCTGCATGAAGATTCCCTGCAGAGGGCGTAAGAACGACAGGCTGGGCACACAGGAAATGGGCAGAATGACGCAAGTGTCGTTCTACCCTAGAGGGGGCTGCTAGCGCTGGGAAAGGTAAGAAGTAATAGGCAATTTTGTATTCTTTATATGGGGGGAATTGTAAAATTGGAAATTGTTATTGGAATTCCAGTTTAATACTTCTCTTTTATCCACCACCCATGTCGCTGGTCTCCGCTGTCTTCTTAAAATAAACTGGCTAAAACATTTTCAGCATGCGGCACATCTCTGGGTGTATCAGATTCCTGGTCCTTTGTGGTTCCTTCTTCCAGCCCCTATGTGCTTACTGTGTCTTGTAGTAACATATGAACTGCAGGAAGGAACCCCAGCATGCAGAGAGGACCTCTCCTTATGTTTTTTTTTTTATTATGCATGAAGTTTACATTGGCCAGGTTTTGCTGTATAAAGAGAAGTAATTGAGTCCCAAGCAGGGTTACAGCAGGCCGAAGTCAGTATGTTCTCTATTCTGCCAAGCAAAGCTTTAATCACCAGATGCAGGTTCTCCGCTATACCTATGCTCATTATTTACACCGGTAGTATTTCCTCCAGAAAAAGCTTCCCGGTTTGCCTGGCTCAGTTACCGCTCCTACATGTTTTCCAGGCACATATTTCTCCTTTTTTTTTTTTTGTCTCTGTATTCTCGGGCTGAAATTGCTCATGGTACTGTTTACAAATCTATCCCAATTATGTAAAACTGGCACACGTACACTGCTATAAAAATATGTTGTGTCTGCTTGTTCTAGGCTGGAGACAAAGTCCTCTTCCAGAGAATACGAGTTCGCTCTCCAGATGGAGTCAGACGACGAACGGGAAGCCTTAATTATTGATCCCACTCAGAATGTTGTGGTGCGGAAAGTAAGTATTAAGTATTGGGCTGGTGTCTAAGACTCATTGCATTAGAGCAAAAAATAATAGATACGATTTAAATATATTTAAAGGATCAGTCTGCCCAATACTCATTATTAGGGTTACAGATAGAGGCTGTTGGGGGAATCACTAGTTGATCTGTAAAAAAAAATAAGTCAAGGCAACTGGACTTGCTGTATTTTTCTTGAAGACCTTTCACTGGACATCCGACCAGCTTTCTCAATTCAGAATTACTTCTCTGGGAATAAATATGGTGAATGTCGCTCTAATCCACATAATATGTTCGTCACAACCAGGTGTTGATATAATTTGATTTTTTACATGTATACCATGACCTGGATGAATGAGAACCTTCACAGACAATAGTTGAGTTCTCGGATCTTTCAAGGAATCCAGTGCCAAGTCGTCCTAGCTAGAGTTCCCACACGTTTTATCGGCTTTTCCAACACTTTTCTTGTTGCAAAAATTGCTGTTCTCTTCTCTTAGGCCGGGTTCACACCTGGGCATTTTTCAGCACTGATTGAGGTTCTAAAAAATGCTCAGCAAGTGAAATACCATAATTTCCTATGAGCATGGTTCCCACCTGGGCGTGTTTCAGCGCGTGGAAACGTGCTGAAAAACGCCCTATGCCCAAACAAGTACAGGAGCTTCTTTGGGGCGTATTTCAGCGCATATCCATTGTTATTCGCTAGCGTGGCTCGGGGTTAACAAAGCGGTAACCCCGAGCTACACTCGGGAATACAACGTAGGTCTTACCTTGTCCGCGATCCCCGCTGTGTCCTCCGCCCGCTTCCGTTTTCCGGGTTTCGTCCCTTGCGAGCATCCGCATCGCAGGGGGGCGCAACCGGTGGGAAGTCTGAAAGTTGAAAAAAAAAAAAATACCTGAAAAAAAAATCATACCGCCAGGGAGGTATAAAAACGAGCGTCGAACGCACGTTTCACTGAACTAAAAAACGAACAGGACCAACGCGCCTATAGTACGCCCAGGTGTGAGCCCAGCCTTAGGCAGTTGTCACCAGAACAATTATCTCCATTGGAACATAAAAGGGTTAATCTCCCCACCCTGGACACTGCAATATAAACCTTTCCTCACTGTATCCAAAACTTAAAGTGACATCAATCTCAGGAGTTAAAACTTCAAAACGCATTCAAGTACCTTAACTATTAATCTTATTTGTGTATCACTCGGCTGTAGATCCTCCAATCATCTCTGAATTGGTGCTGACACTGTCCTTCCTTCTGGAGGTGGCTACTTTTCTTCCCCATGGTTCCTGTGCGTGTTGTAAAGTAGTCACCGCTCCAAGCTCGCTCCGGGGATGGATTACCATCTCACATGTAGGTTACTCATTTGTATTGAGATTGTAGTCTATGGCGGGCGCGAGCTTGGACTACTTTACAGCACACACAAGGACCATGGGGAACCAAAGTAGCCACTATTATTTTATTATTTCTTTCATTTTTCCTAATTGCTTAACCTTTGACTCGATAACACAAAGTGTCCAAACTCTGTTTTATATTTTGCTTTTCTAGCTCAAGGGTGGAACACTTTCCATACGGAGATGGCTGCGCGGTCGGAGCCTCTATTGCTCAAAGCTGTTGACCTCCAGATCAAAAGCTCGCTACGTATTCCTCACCTACCTTCTGGGATTACACATCCTCGTCCTTATGTGCCTAACTGGAGTTCTATAGCAAGAGACATCCCATGCAAGCGCAAGACTCTTATCTTCCCATGCTGTCATAACTTCTTTACATTAATGACTTGTATTTAAGAGAACTTAGTCCAGGTTTCCGGTTAAACTGTGCAGCACACTGTGTGTTTCATAATGGGCGCCTGGAACAGAAGAGAAGCACAGAAGAACGGCACTGAGTAAAGTAACACTACTGATCTGTTTGTAGTGGGTGAGGAGCACAGATGGAGGACAATGGTGAGGAGCACAGAAGGAGGACAATGGTGGGTAACAGGTTCATTCATTGCTCCTTTCATGATACGTCTGCTAAAGGGGTCACTTCACCCAAAAAGGATCTTTGCTGTGACAAGAGAAAGTGGAACTCCCAATACATACATGTACACTTTAGGTATAGTGTTAGACGTTTATTTATATATTTATTACAGGCATTTATATATTAACAATACATTACACAATGCTACTGTGCATTGGCATCTGTCCCTGCCCTCGAGGAGCTTACGATCTAAAGTCCCAAACTCAAATACGAGGGACAATTTAGACAGGAGCCAGTTTATCCTACCAGCGTGTCTTTGGTTTGTGGGAGAGAACCAGAGGAAACCCACGCTAGCACAGGGAGAACGTGCACGCTCTGCAGAAGTGTCCTGGCTGGGGTTGGAACTGAGGACCCCAGTGTTGCAAGGCAGAGATGCTAACCACTAAGCCACCGTGAAGTCAAGTCAGATATTTATTGATAAAATGGGCAGGGGGACGTACCAGCACCCCACACCAGTGTCTCAATACTGTTTATTCCATCCAAAAAGTCTAAATAAGCCCTCGTTCACACCTGAACGTTTTGTAGCGCATTCTACGCTCGACGAACGCTCTACAAAACGCTCAAAAATATAAATCCCATTGTATTCAATGGTCTCGTTCCCACCTTGGTGTATTTCCGCCCGTCCCTAACGCGCTACAAAACGGCCCACGCCTGAAAAGGTACAGGTACTACTTTGGGCCGTTTTGTTGCGCGTTTCCATTGGGATACAGCCAAGTAGCCGATGGACGCGCGACTTTTTTACCGCGAATTGCGGTAAAAAAAACGTGCGACAGACGTGCATATGCAATACGGCTAGGTGTGAACGAGACCTAAGAGTCATGGTTTCCAGCCTGTGCGTCTCGGGAGCTTTAAGAATACTTCCTTTAAAAAGACTCGGTGAGCCGGTAGAGATTGAGGATAGACTCTAGTTTCTTTGTAGAGATTGTTTAAAGGCGCAAGCGTCCGCAACTGGTTATTGTTTTGTGTTCCTGTTCGAAACATTCCCTTTGATTTCCCGAACCTGCTGACTCCAAGGTAAGGATACATCTCAAAAGTCAGACACAAAAAAAAATTGGACAGGTTCCATCCCATTTGTTTCCAAGAACCACCAGCACTCCTTACTGTCTGCGACCTTCCAATGGTAGTGGTGCTCATGGTGATCACACGGATGACGCAAAACTCAGAATAGTCTCAACAGGTCACCGGCACACGCACAGATGGATTCAATATCTCTTTGATATGTTTATTGACGAATGTCACAGCATGTCATTAGAAGCTGAAGCTAGCGTTTCGGGACCTCGTAGGGACCCTTCATCAGAGGGACATGGTGACGATAGTTCCATCCCATCTCTACCCACCTAAAAATAATATTATTGGCCCGACTCTCTTTCTGCCCCGTTGACTCACAAGGAAGTCAAGGGAAATGGCGACACATTAAAACATTACATAACTGATCCTGCTCTGTCTAAAACTGTTGGCTGGAGTTCCACTTTACTTGCCAGAAAGCGTGGCAGACATCTCTGCGTCGGAGTTCCCAGCTCTGGCCAGCTACCAATTGGGCAGAACTGGGACTCAGGCAAGGGAATGTCTCTTCTAGAGTTGTAAGCTGGTGGGTGAGTATCCTAACAGTTTCACTTCTTGGCAGAAATATCCATTTTGGGTGGACTGACACTTCAGCACTCCCTCAATCCTTCATGCCCCCTCCCCTCTCCATATATTGCTGCTGTTAAATCTTGCACTGGCCACTACTTTGTATATAGACCCTTCACTGCAAACGTGCAAGCTGTATACTGTATATTTTGGTTGTCTTATAAAAGATTATATATTATATTTGCTAAAAGAAATAACTTTTCTCACTGTGTATAGTTTGCTGCTTCTAGAAGATCTATTGAGATTTAAGACTTGAATCTGTGTAAATCGAGTTCCTTTTCTAGAAAGAAGATATTTTATCAGCTCCAACATGGGTTTCCGTAAACTGTCCTTCAGTTTCTTGGTGTGTGGCAGGGAAGCTTTCAAGTGCAATAAAAAAAAAATATAATGCCAGTCTGTCAATTTCTTGTGTCGTCTTCTTTGGTTACAGGAGAACGCAGATATAGACTAGGTTTAAAGCTACACAAAAAATGAATGCAGTTGTGTATTAAACAATGAAATCTATTTCCCATAACGTCTTCCAGGACAGCATCACGAGATGGAATCTCCTCCCCCACACACAGGAAACACGTCACTTAATCTGCTTAAAAGACCCTCCTCTCCTCCACTCCCTATTGTTATAAAGTACAAATACCTGTCGTAGTCATGGTGGCCGCCAGCCAAATATTTGAAACCAAATGTATAATGTTTGTCAATGGGAAGTGAGGGAGTTGGGTTCCAGGCCTCTCTCAAAACAAGGAACGGTTCTAAATAAAAACTGGTGTAAACGGAAACGCAGTAAGGAAGGTAAGTCAGTAGCAAGTGAGGAAGTTAGGTTCCACGCCTTTCTCATTGACATAAGTAACGTAATACACAAACATTTTATTTAAAGCTCCTTGTGTGCTCATGCAGCAGCTTTAAATATAATGTACCTGTATTCA